GCGGGGTGCTGAGCCCGACGAACACAGGAGGCGGAGGGTTTTCCGACTTGCGCTCCTTGGCCGACTTGAGCGTTGTCACAAGGCTGTCAAAAGTCCGGCAGACAAGCAGCCAATCCCGAGCATCGTCCTCAAAGTCAGTCAGAACGTCCGAAACGGTGTAGGCAATCTTGAGCTTGGCAAATTCCACTGCAATGCAGACAGTATCAGCGCGCTTCATGGTATAAAAGATACAGGTCTGCTCGACAACCTGGAAAAAGATCAGTCTGACCTGCTCGATATTCTCAAACCTCGTCACAATCTCGTCCAGAACGCGCTTCGACCACAGCGCAATGCGGCATAAGTCTCCTGTGTCCTTCTGCGCCGACGCTTCAAACGAGACCTCTGCGACCCCAATATCGAGACACTCCTTGTACCGGACGAGGAAGTCGGGATTCTTGGATAATGTTGTCAAGTTCTTGCAGAGGCGCACGAAAATGCTACCGGATGTCGCGGTAGTTGCTGAACTATGGTGGAGATATCAGAAGTCCAGAAGCAGTGTTTGAAATAGGGCCGAACTGGAAAAAAAAAAAAAAAAAAAAAAAAAAAAACGAGCATATGATAAACACAGGCGTACAAAATGTCTGCCAACTTACTGTGCGAGACGACTAAAGTCTGGACGATCAAAAATAGGCCGCAGCATACCCAATATGAACGAGCTAGTTTGGTCAGCCTCGCTCACAGGCGCGCATTCCTTGGGCAGCTTGACCGCGTGCTCATAGAGCTCCTTCAGCGGCGAGTCTTCTTCTTCTTCTATCCGTTTCTTGAGCTGCTTGCGTGCATACTCGCATCCACCTTTGCGCTCAGCTTTCCGAAACACCTAACACAAAAGGAAATAGATCCAGGATAAGTACACAGAGGCTCCGCAGCATGTGTATATCGTATCGACCGCATGATCTTCCAACTACCAAGGCACATACATTGCGGGCTGCTTGGCAAAAGGCCACCGCACCATCTTCCTCGTCCGCCCTGGCTTGTTCGTCGTCCTTGTTGGGCTGGATCATCTCGACCATGACCTCGCGCAACCTCTCAAAGCGCTCGCCAAAATGCCGGCGCTGCATATTAGTGGGCTCTTTGCCGAGGAACAGAATTCCGGCTGTGGCCCTGCAGGTGAACAGCAATATTAAATGCATCGCGTTAGCTTATCAGCGAAAAGCATCATGTACACAAAGAAATCAGTCATGGTCAACGCAACTTACAGAAAGTCTTGGAAGGTGTCGCGGTCATATGGCGTGGCGATCGCCTCCTCATAATAGTCGTTGAATGGGGCCGAGATGTCGTAGTATCCGATGATGCAGCTAAAGGCGAACGCTTCATAGTCGAATACGACGTTCAGGGGGCGGTGGCCCTGCTCCTGGACAAGTGTGGCCACCTCCTCTTCCTCCTCGTCCTCATCATCGTCGTCGTCATGGCTTGTCTTCATTCGTTGAAGAATACAAAGAAGAGGATTGCATTGTTATCAACATCAAATCCAAGAGCCATGACGGTCGAATGGCCTTGCAAAACGTCAAGCGCTTACCTCGCTCTGAAAGGGGTTGTTCGCATGGGTGGCGCTCTTCATGGTGTTTGGGCCTCCCACCACACGCTCGCCCTTCTCTGCTCTTGGTCGCTGCAGATCTTTTTCGGTAGTTTGCAAAATGAACCAAAAAAGTAATGAGGAAATAGTCAACTGGGGTCGAGAGTACCAACCAACGCAAAGATGGTCACGATCAGACTCCTCACCATGCTCTTCCGCCTCCTGATCTCGGTCTCGCTTTCCTAGAATTGTTCCAGATTGCTTGGTGGATGGCTCATCCTGATGCCACACCTTCTTGTTCAAAGCCCATATTCGGATAGATGGTCAGCAAAGGTTAGTAACAGCGCCAAGAGGCGACGATCGAAGACAGTGACAATGTTGCGCTTGGAGATAGTTCTGACATTAACGAAAAAAAAAATAATCACGCACCGTTTGCTCGCCTAGACGTTTGCGCAGCTTTTGTTGTGCCAGGTAACGCTCTTCATTGACAATGATGTCGTTGGTGATGTCCGTCGCTGCCTCCGTCCTGAAGGCTTCCAAACGCAGCTTGCCCATTTCGTCACCAAGGAAACCGACCCATGCGCAAGCATACGATCGAATCGCTCTGTCCACTGTTTTCCGACTGCTGATCTTGACAAGGCCATCAATGAACAGCGTGTGGTCGTTGTGAGTCTTGAAAAAGTGCTTTAAGGACCACTGGCCGACAGGAGTGACGAAAAAGTACTGGTCCGCCTCCAGGCCGGGATGCTCCCCAAGATGCGTCGCGAGACCATAGTACTGAGGTTGGTTAGCCATTGCTTGTAGCGAAAGAGCTGGGTTGGATAGTGTTGTAGACTTGATCTGGTTGTGCTGGAGGCTCGCAATTTCTGAAGGAATTGGGGACTACGTCACCAACTCCGTGCGCTCTCTACCTCCCTCTTCTCTCCTAATCCCTAACCGTTTGGCGGGCGCAACCAAGGCAAGGCATAGTCATTAATCAACCTCAACGCACTCCTGTCGGCCCGTTTGGCGGGGAGGAATGCTGTCCATCGATATGTGCGACCGGCCATGGTGGCCTGCACATGGAGGTGCTGCATTCAGCGCGAGGCTGTTGATTCACGTTTCATATTTTTGTTTTTTTGTGCGATGGTGCTCGGTGCGGGTGCGACAGCGTTGCCATTACGCATGTTCTATGCGGCACGCCGATCCGCATACTCGCCTGTCGGCCCGTTTGGCGGGGTGAGATGCCCATCGCGATGCACTGTCGGCCCGTTTGGCGGGTGCATCCAAGGTAAGCCATGTTTTTTATGTCATTCAGTCGTAATGCACTCCTGTCGGCCCGTTTGGCGGGGAGGAATGCTGTCCATCGATATGTGCGACCGGCCATGGTGGCCTGCACATGGAGGTGCTGCATTCAGTGCGAGGCTGTTGATTCACGTTTCATATTTTTGTTTTTTTGTGCGATGGTGCTCGGTGCGGGTGCGACAGCGTTGCCATTACGCATGTTCTATGCGGCACGCCGATCCGCATACTCGCCTGTCGGCCCGTTTGGCGGGGTGAGATGCCCATCGCGATGCACTGTCGGCCCGTTTGGCGGGTGCATCCAAGGTAAGCCATACTCTTTTTTTATTGTTTGTAACAAGGCAAGTCATGTTCTCTACTTAGGCGCTGCACGCCTCTGTCACCTTCGAAGCATCGTATGATAATTCAGCACGTCTCACTTTTTTGTACATGCCTTAATACTAAATCAGAGGCCAAAGATGTGACTCTCTCATAGGTCTTCTACCTCTTGGGAGACGATCGCTGGCACCACATTGGAGACATCCTTCGAGCATAGAGTGGCACACGAGCATCTCAACATCCTCTGCCGCCATAGAGCTAGTAGCCGATAACCGAGTGCAAGGCTCATTGACCAGAATAGCAGTAGAAGTGGTGGCGCTGTAAGCTCTCTTGAAACTCACTCTTTCTTCCTTACTCTTTCTCTCTCCCTCTCTCTTTTAGCAAGGTTACAGGAGTGGTTGGAAGCACATGACAGAGGACCAGGCAGAGGACCAGGCAGGAGATAGGTGGTGGTGAAGAGAGAGTCTATGCTGATTCGTTGTTTTTAACTCATTGCAGAAGATACACTATTTCTTTCGCTCTCGTTCCCCTCTCTACTCTGGTCTCTAGGAACGGATACAGGAGTGCTTGAAAGCATACAGGAGGATGAACCAGGAAGAACTACGAGGACAGAACACAGGAAGTAAATGGTGGCGGAGGAGTGTGTGTGCTGATCTGCAGTTGTTTTTTTACTCATTGCAGAAGACTCACCAACACTCCTTTTCTTTCCACTTTTCCTTTAGTGACGGATATATGAGTGCTTGAAAACACACAACAAAGGACCATGCAGGAGCAGAATACACAAGTAAGTGTTGACAGGTGTTGCGCGCGCACTGACAGTGTAGGGAAAAGTATTGGAGCTTGGCTGATAGGAGCAATTGACTTACGGGAGCTCTTTTCTCTTGTCGTTTTTTTCCTTTCTCCCCGATAGCAGGATTGCGAGAGTGCTTTGATGCACATGACAATGGACTACAGAAGCAGCACGTCGAAGTAAGTGTCGACAGGAAACAGAGTCATTGTTGTTCATTGTCTGTTGTGCACGCGGATTAAGAGTAGAGATCAGTGTTGAGGTTGGGTTCAAGAGCAATTGACTCATCAGTGTTGTCTTTGGCCTTCTCCTTCTATCTGCTAAGTCGAGTCGTATGTGTTTATTGATGCACATGTCGATGGACAAGAGAAGCCGGATTCACTGCAGGTAAGTGCAGTGCTGCATACGAGCTGGCAGTGGTAGTCTGTGTTTGGTATGGTTTATGGTATGCAGTAGAACTCATTGGATCTTCTTTCTCTGCCTCTGTCCTTATTACAGCTGCTTTAGTACGATCCCAGCAGTATCTTAAAGTACGCAGCAATGAAACGTGGGAGCTGGATCGCGTTGCAAGTAAGTGTTGTGTTGAGTCGTTGTTGGACATCGCAGTGCAGCACAGGAACTAGCAGTGGGGATCAGTCTTGACTCACTAGAGCCCTTTTCTCTTTTCTTTACTGTTTTAGCATAGTCACAGCAGTGCCAGCGCGCACCCAGCAAGTGAACCACAAGAGAGCTGGACTGCGTTGCAAGTAAGCGCTGTCAAGACTCTCTGCTGATTCGCAGAGGTGCACACGAGTTGGTAGTCGGGATCAGTGTTCAGTTTGGCGGACTGGAGCAATTGACTCACCAGACTTCTATCTCTTTATGTGGCCTCCTTAGCATGGATGCAACAGTGTCAACACGTACCCAGCAGAGGAAGGCGGGAGCAGGACCGTGTTGCAAGTAAGTGTTGACAGGGATTCTGTTTTGATTTACGTTGGTCATCGCAGTGCTGCAGTTAAGCTGGGTGCGGGGATCGGTCTTGACTCACCAGAATCCTTCTCTCTCTCTCTTTTCTTCTTTTGCTGCTTTAGCATCGTTGCAACAGCGTCAACGCGCATCAAGCAGAGGAAAAGCGGGACCAGGGATCACGTTGCAAGTAAGTGCCGGCAGAGCTCTATGTTGATTCACGTTGGTCGTCGTTTGTTGCAGTCAGGCTGGGCGTGGAGATCAGTCTTGACTCACCAAAGTACCTCTTTCTTGTTTCCCCTGCTACTCTAGCATGGTTGCGACAGCGTCAATTTGCACTCAGCAAGTGAAAAGCGGGAGCCGGAACTACGTTGCAAGTGTATATGGTTTATTCTTCTCGACCAATTTTAATGGCATCTTATGCTTAAGCAAGCATTGTCATGCCTGTCCCTGAGCCACCAATCTGAGAAATATCGCAGATCGTGCACAGGTTGCCTTGGAATTCAGTGAGTGAGTCACGCCGGCTCAGTTCAATGCTCAGTCCTGAGATGTATTCACGACAGACCCCACAAGCTGTAACGCCTATCAAGTTAACAAGAATAAAAGGAACCATCAGTCATCATGTCCTCGCGTAGCTTCCTCTGCCAAAATGCCCTCGCCCTCTTTCATGTGGTCATACTTCCTCAGCTTCTGTCGTCTGTGTCACCACAGTCAGCAGCAATGGGTGAAGAATCCGTCTGAACAGGGTGCACGCCTCTACAATTTTGTTGCCGTTGTCTCCTTATAAGCGTCTTGTATGTCCTTTGGAATCAACGCGTGGAAGCTCCTGACAAGCACTGGCAGTGCCCTTCTCTGGTCGCTTTCGGTAGGGTTGCGACGCACCGGCAGCGTGATCGGCGGCATGCCTTCATTGCCAGTGAGAATGGTCCTGCTGGCTTGAAAGAAGGACAGGAAGTGATCCTTAAGAGGCTCAAAGTTGAAGGCTTCGACCTGGCGCTAGAAGAGCTGTCAAGAGAAAAGGAGAGCATCGGTGGTGTGCACTCGAAGAGGGTGCACTACAATAACAAAAAATGCCAGGACAGTGATCAGCTTCCCAGTTTGAAAGAGTAGCTCTACAGTTAGATAGTGTAATCGTTTGTGCTTACCGATGATAGTCGACACAGGTGTCAGTCTCAAGAAGGTGGAGCGGAGGGTGTGTTGTCTCGAAGGACGCGCGGTGTGCGGTTCTGTGACCGTCTTCCCTCCTTCCTTGCACTTCTCCCTTCCTTCTTCCTTCTTCCTTCTTCCTTCTTTGCTCTCCTCCTTTGACCGGAACAGGACGTGGAGGGCATCAAGTGCGGACAGGACGTTGTGCTGATCGCAGAGGACCAGGCAGGAGGAGGACACACAGGAGGTAAGTGTTGGCAAAGGGGGTCTTTACCGATTCGTTGTTTCCTCATCGCAGAAGACTCACCAGCCATCTTTTTCTTTCCTGCTCCCTCTCTGTTTCGTTTAGCAGCGGGTACAGAAAGCAGGCAGGATGCAGGACCAAATTGCAGGAGGAGGCACAACAGAGTCTATGCTGATTCGTTGTTTGCTCACCGCATTAGACTCACTAGGCACTCCTGTTTCCTCTTCACTGTTTTCTTGAACCATGGGTCAGGAGTGCACGGAAGCACATATGCCAGCATGAGGATACACGCTGGAGGTAAGTGGGTGCAAAGAGGGTGTCTGCTAATTCGTTGTTTGCTCATCGCAGAAGACTCATCAGGCAGCCTTTCTCTCTCTTCCCTTTTCACTCTCTCTTTAGCAATGATTACAGGAGTGGTTGGAAACACACGGCAGAGGACTAAGCAGGAGGTAAGTGGTAATGGGTTTGGTTGATAGTGTATAATACACTCGTTGGATGTCCCTCTCTGACTCTCTTTTGTTTGTTGCTTCAGCACGATCGTCAAAGTGCTTATAAGCACACAGCAGTGGGAACGCCGGGGAGCTGGACGTGTTGCGAGTAAGTGTTGAAAGGACACTCGTGCTGATTCGCGTTGGTCATCGCAAAGCTGCACACGAGCCAGCAGTGAGGATCAGTGTGCATCTTGGCTGTCGAAGCAATTGACTCACTAGAGCCCTTCTCTCTTTTTGTTTTCTTTGCTGTGTAAGTATGGTTGCAACAGTGTCAGCACGCATCCAGCAGTGGAAACGCGGGAGCAGGACCATGTTGCAAGTAAGTATTGACAGGACTCTGTGCTGATTCAGCGTTACTCATCGGTGCTATAACGGTGCGGCTGGAGGAGATCACCCTTAGTGCTTGTCTGTTGAGCCATGGACTCACCGCTGAACCCTTCTTTTGTTCGTTCTCTTTCCCTTTTCGATGCAACTAGGAAGGCTGGGGCAGGGTCACCGAGTAAGTGTTGACAGTGTCGTCGTGCTGAATCAGTGTTGCTCATCGGTGTAGCAGCAGAGCTGGCAGTGGTGATCAGCCTTGGAGTTTATCTTACTAGGTTTCATAAGCTCACCACAGCCCTTCTTTTGTTTTTTCTCTTTCTCTTCTAGCAGCCGCTAGTGTGGTCTTACAGAAGTATAGGATTTTCTGGATCAACAGGATAGTGGCAAGCAGAAAGACAGTGCAGTGTCACCCAGTAAGTGTTGACAGGATGTTGTGCTTATTCAGTGTTGCTCATCGATGCTGCAGCGGTGGGACTAGTAGAGGAGATCAACCTTGGTGTTCGTCTGTTGAGATCAAAGACTCACCACAGAACCCTTTTGTTCTTTCTCTCTCCCTTTTCTCTACGACTAAGAAGGCTGACAGGAGTGCGACGAAGCATTGGGCAGTGGTAAACAGATTTTTTTATTTTTATTTTTTATTTTTTTACTAGTAGAACTGCCCGTGGCACACGCCACGGGTCCGAGGTAAAAAATAAAGTAGCTTTATTGCACGTTCAACAGATTCCTGCAGACGATATTTCGCGTCTAAACGCCCTCCTGTCCATCTATGGCACCATTTTCGACCAGAACCTTGAGGTTGTCTCGGTGTTTGCAACGCGAGAACCCGACATACAATTACCCAGCACCAGAGACGTGCTGAGGAAGATACACACCAACGCGATCAAGTGTTTATCCTTGTGCCTTGTTAATGGTCAAGGCAAACGCAAGTTTGACAGGAAACTGGCGCCTAGTGAACTTGATTGGCGTAAATCCGTCGTCCAGGGTCGTAAGAGGTATGCGTGGAATAAGCACTGTTCGTCTCCTGAAGTCACCGTTAAGAATCTCGGCACTGATGTATCTCTGACGGAGTGCTCGAACAATCAGACGCATATCGTTGCAGAGGCCGGATTTCCCGTCCATGTTTCGAAGAAGAATGATAGGCTGGCCCACCTTCAACAGCAACTCGTGGGGAGGCATACCTGGAGGACCATTGTACATTGAGCTTTACATGATCTGTAGCGGGACTTTGAAAGTAGAGTGGACTGTACGGCCTCCTATCAAGACCCGAGCAGCAATTCCAGATGACGCTGTTCCGTCCAGACCCCAAATTGGGATCGTGCTGGGAGTGAACCTTCTCATTTAGGCTACTACCTTTTTTATTCATGAGTCTATTAAGCTATCTAGTGCTCCAAGACCCAGGTCGAGGCTATAAAAACCTCTACCAGGAGCATAATAAACAATAACGCTCTTTTGTCTCCTTGACTCACACTCAGGTACATAAAACATCACAGACGCAACTACCATCACGTCCTTCTCGCGTCTTCCTCGGATACGGGCAATCAAAGTGCTGTACAAAAATGACTTGCCCGTTCCTCTTGGTCTATCAATAAAGAACACCTTTGCCACACCTTCGTCCTTGTTATCCAGCGCTGCCGTGGTTGCAGCGTACAGTGCTTTTTGATCGTCTTTGCAGAAATCCAAGTCATGAGCTGACTTAGCCGCAAGTACCCCAGTGCCGAGCTCTGCATGTTGTCCAAGTTCGTCACTGTTGGGTTGGCGATTGATGAGGTTGTGAAAGTTTCGAAGCATCTCTTCATAGACCGCCAGACTAATCCCAGTTCCCTTCAAAATCTCGTTGACGTGGAACAGTGCAGCGCTCTTGACAGCCTCTCCTCATTAAGGCAATCTCCAGCAACGCACAGGAAGAAAGTTCTGAGATAGGTTATCAGCGAATGCTTCCCTCAATTCGGGAGGATTGGATGGGCTGCATAGGTGCAGAGCCATAGCGAAAAGATGGCGTACGTTCTTGGGACTTCAACGCCTGTTACCAAATATTCAGTGAGAGGGCACCGTTCAAAGGGCAACGCATCTAAATCCTTTGCGCTATTCGGTCGATTGAAAGCGGTAATTATATCAGCGCGCCTGGTGAGAGGTATAGGCTCATCTCATAAAAAAAAAAAGAAAAAAAAAGAACTTGCCTTTCGAGCGGGTTACTGAGATTCTTAGGGCAGTCCTTGAAGATGATTTTGGAGTAGCTAGCTTGGCCGCATCTGCATGTCCGAGACGCTTGGAGAGATCCTGCAGCAGGGGCAGGTGCCAGGCCCGCATACTCTAGTTCCTCCAGATGGTGATTAGCACGCTCATGCCCTTGCTGTCTTTCGCGAGAATTAGCCCAGCACGCCTGGTGAGAAGTACATCAGCGGTTACATAGTTCAGATTGTTCTGCAAGTCCACCCCATAAAAAAAAAACTGCCTTTCGGGCGTACCACTGGGATCCCCAGAGCAGTCCCCGAAGTTAGTTTTGGAGTGGGTAAGATGACCACATTTACATATCCGAGGCGCTTGGAGAGGTCCTGCAGCAGGGGTAGGTGCCAGATCCGCATGCTCTGGTTCATCCAGATGGCGATCAGCATGCTCATGACCCTGCTATCTTTCACTGGCGTACTGGGCTGCATAGGCGGAGATGAGCATAGCACGCCTGGTGAGAGGTACATCAGCTGTTAGTTTAGATTGTCCGTAATCCCATCCCATAAAAAAAAAAAGAAAAGGAAGCTGCTTTTCGAGCGTGTTCTTGGGATTCTCAGGGCAGTCCCTGAAGGTGATTCTGCAGTGGCCAGTTTGGCCTCATATGCATGTTCGAGCTGCTCAGACAGGTTCAGCAGCAGGACTATAGATTCGATCAATTCGTGTCGAGTCAGCATGGGGACCAATATCAATGTAAAAAGTAACAAAGACACACTTCACATACGCTTGGTTGCACGTTATATCCATGTTCTCGGGAGTCAATGTAAGAGGGATGCAGTTGTTGAGGGAGGAGCAGAGGGAATGGCTTTGAGTGATAAGGGTCAAGCAGTGAATGTTTAAGGATGGAGGGCATTTGTCAGTGGTGGATGTAAGAGGAGATTTATTTTTGGGCGAAGCAAGAATTGCGTTGCTCGAAATTTTGCATCAAGAAAGGGTATTGCCATCGAGATCTTAACATCAAAGAAAAGGTACTGCAAATTGATTAAATTTATTAGATGTGTAAAGTAGTCTTCAAAATCCCCCAAATCAACCTTGTGTAACTCGTCAAACCCATCGAACCACCGCCGATATCATTCATCATACCTCAGACTAAGCATTCACTGTGGTTGTTGCGGTGCGAAATGAGCGAACGACATGGTGACATGAAATACCTTTTCGGACATGTGTAGTAAGTCTGGCGGTCGTTGTTCTTGTTGCACTTTTCGGATCTGAGCATGTTGTAGGGGTTTCAGTGTAGGATGGTGGTAGGCGGCGGTGATAGAGACAGACAGACAGAGAAAGAGTTGATGAGAGAGAAGGATAGATAAAAGATTTTTTATTTTTTACTTTATTTTCTGGATTTCTGGCTCTCGAGTGCATCGAGTCTATGATGGAGAGGGAGATCTACGCAACATGGCAGAGCATCCTCTATTCGACTTTAAGCTTGTACGTGGACAAAGAAAAGAGCCTTTGTGTGTACAGTACTTTGAGGAAAGGTTACAATAAACTGCACTTTTTTGTTTTCGTGCTTTTACTTCATGATATACTATATCTTTCGAAGAGTCGTTCTAGTAAAATACGAAGGCAACTGTCGAGGCTAAAGAATGGAGTACACATGATGGCAGTGCCTTTATTCCTTGCGGAGAAATATATGCTTTCGTAATGCTATGTCATTGTAACCATTTTTCACTGCCACTCTTAATACCTTGTGTGGCCACCTTTCGCCTTCAATACAGCCTGAACTCGGTCCGGCATCGACTCGTAGAGCTTTCTGATGAAGTCTTCAGGAACCTTTTCCCACTCCTCAAGAACTGCTTGCTATAAATAGTGGATACTGGTGGGTCTTATTTCTCGCAGGCCTATGCGAGTTTTGATGTACCTCCACACATGCTCTATGGGGTTTAAATCAGCAGATTGTGCAGGCCATGGCAGTAGCGTGTATCCTTGCTCATCCAAATAGCGCCTTGTCGCACGAGCAGTGTGTTTAGAGTCATTATCCTTCGGGCCAGGACCATATATGTGTTATCTTCTTTTATTGAAATAAAACGCGAAAATCCAGAAACTACCCGTAAGGAAAAAATGAAATAAATTCTGCTCGTATACCATGAATGCCTACTATCTTCTTTTGTTTCGCCAGGGACATACCCGCATACATAGAAAATCACTCCATGTCTACTCCTCCCACACAAGATGCAAACACTATTGCCAACCTTCAAGAACAGGTGGCCAATATGGCCCGCCAGATCGCTATTCTTCAAAGTTCCAGAGAGTCAGACCCTCAGCTCGAGGAACCGATCTCCGTCAAGACTTACCATCCTTCTGCAGAGGAAGCTGAACGATATCCTCCTATCCAGCCTTCAGACCCCGCATCTTTCTTTCAGCAAGACACCCCGGACGACGAATTTTGGGAACAGTTCCGCCGCTACCCCAAGAATTCAGCGATGGGATACGAACCTCCCAAGATCCCAAATGTCATTCCTCTCTCTCCACCACAGAAGGCCCATGATCATCAGCTACGCAACTGTCAAGTTCTGGGCAGGCAGATAGATAGGAACGAGAGTAGTGTGCAAATAAATGAGCGAGAGCAGGTTCAAGACAAGGAGGTTTTGTATTGCAGACTGAGGAACTATGGCTATTGCAACAGCAGCAGAGTCAAGGGGTCAAGGGCAGTGGTCAAGTAGGAATGCGTAGAAATGAATGCTGTTTAATGATCGTAAGTAGGGTCTATATATACATGTCTGGGGTCTATTGTACAGTGTCGTAGTGGAGTTGTCATGATGCCGGGCTCCCATCCTGGCTCTGTGTGTCGTAACCGTGAAGCTTGGTAACCGAGTGGTAATCCTGTTGCACTTTCATAGCTGAGGTCGCGAGTAACGATTTCCTTTGCAAGAGCGCCAACGGTTCGACATGGTTTATGGTCCTTTTTATCGCCCAGGATGTGCACTTGAAAGTTCCCTCGATTCATCATCGCAGCCTCGCAAATGCAAACATACTTCATTTCCTGAAAACGATCCTTTTTAAAAGAAAACTTGACTCCTTTGACAACAACGACGAGTTCGTCATCACGGTGATAGAGTCCAATGTGATCTCGATGCTTTGATTCCAAGCTGGCGGAAGGTAAGCCGAGATATCCATGAATACAATTTAAAAACTGACAGCGTTTTGGATTCGACATTTTTGCTAAAGGGAAAGATGATAAAAAAAAAAACGCAGACTGTCTATTTCAACATCTCTGCAACCCAGTACGACATGAACCACGTGATCTGCAACCGATGGAAACAGGCCCGCAAAACTTTGATTAAAACTGAGTTGGTGCATCCTGGACGAATTGATCATCAAAACCGACTCCCCATGCAATTTACATTTGTGTACACAAACAAACCAAACATCGCTCTCCTTCCGACTTTCCTGCAAACACACACGCAACTTGCATTTGTGTCCACAAACAGACCAACGTCACTCATTTTTTTTCGACTTTCCTCGCCCACGCTGACTGTCACGGATAGCACCATAGCGTGTGGTGCAGAGTGACAGTTGAGCTGCGCACACAATTGCTCATATTGATTTGTGACTGCTTCTACGCGCTCACGCGCTTGCACGCGTACCTCTGCCACCGTATGCTCGATCAACATATGTTCAACGAAGTATCTTTATTGATATTGCTATTATCCGGCCCGCCTAGAACCATTGTCCGGCCCGTCTAGAACCATTGCACCAGATCCATACCTTTGTGCTATTCCTAGCAAATATACCTCGCGTCCCGTAGTAGCCATCCGAGTACCCTGACCAAGAATCCTAGAAACACATAAATAGAGCCATAGAATCCATAGCATATACACTACTGAAAATAATGAGTAAATGTTTTGGTACAGTCCACGGAAAAAGTGTTAGCATGTTTTGTTATTTTGGACTTATACTCCTTTATCTCCCTATTACGCTATTACCAAGGACTGAGATGTCTGGTGGACAATGTCGTAATTTACAAGGAGCTTTCTAGAATGTTCCAGGCTTGAATGACCTTCAGCTGAGGAACGAAGGATCTCGAAAGTCATGAGGTGCACTCTAACACTTTTTAAAAAATCCTATAAATTGTGCTCTTCCCTTACGGTCTGCATCCTCACTCGCAACTAGAACAATACAACTGCACAGTTATCCACTACTCCCATCCTACGCCACATTCATCCCAAGTTTACATCAAACATGAAGCGGCTGCGAGAACAAACCGTACGCGATGCGATTATCCAACTTCGGCAAGGAAAATCTGTCCGCGAGGTCTCAAGATCCTTGCATATCTCTACTTTCTCCGTTTCCAAGATTCGTCAAAGGGACAAGGAGAACGTTCCATCCCCTAAAATAGGGCGTCCTTCGAAGGTTTCGAAGAAGACCAAGACCTTACTTGCTCGTCATTTCGTCGCAGGAAAGCCGTAACCCTCCGCGACGGCCAGCGACTTATCCAATCGGTGCAAGGAGTGCAGGTTCATGTAGGCAGTGTCCGGATCTACCTTAAACAGGAGGGCTTAAAAGCATACGTCCAGCCTAGGAAGCGTGATCTGACACCGGATCAAATCAGAGCACGCTACGAATTTGCTAAGGCGCACTTGAAATGGACCGTGGACGACTGGAAGAATGTGATGTTCTCGGACGAAACTATAATCAGCAGGATTGGGTCCTTCGGCAGGAAATTCTATTACAAGAAGCCCAACAGGAAGGATATCCAACCTCACCAAGTGCAGAAAACAAAGCAGGGCGGAGAGGGCAAAATTATGGTCTGGGGTTGCATGACATTTTATGGCTTGGGCGATGCCTGCTGGATCCCAGGAAGTATGGATGCACAAACCTACCTCGATGTACTGAAGGACTATCTTTGCGCATCTCGGGATTGGTTTGGTATGGATCCAGCAAAATTCATTTTTCAGCAGGACAATGCCAAAGTGCATACAGCAGGCATAGTCGAAGACTTCCTTAGGAAATCCAAGATCGCAGTCATGGAATGGCCTGCGAATTCTCCGGACCTCAACCCGATCGAGCATCTATGGTCGCACCTCAAGTACCGACTTGATCAGTATCCAGAGGCACCAAGCTCTTTGGACGACCTCTGGGAGCGTGTTCAGGATATATGGACAACAATAGATATCAAATTCATTCACGAGCTATATGAGAGCATGCCCGAGCGCATGAAGAGGCTTCACGCAAATAAAGGAGGCCATATCGATTATTAATGGCAGAAAAGTAGCTAACAGAATCAGAGGGTGGTCATATTTCGAAAAAGTGTTAGAATGGGGTCAATATGTTCATGTCCTCAATTAGCCGGATAGAGTGCATCCATTGGCTCGTAACTTGGCAGGTAATCTTAACAAATATACGAGATTGATCGCGTGAAGCCTCGTAGCAGTAGGCGGTATTGATGTAAGTATCAAAGAAAAAAGGTCGAAATTATGAAAACATGCTAACACTTTTTCCGTGGACTGTACTATATAAATCTATCACCTCTGAAACTTAATCTAGAGTTGATTAATAAATATCGTGTAGATGTGTGTTTGGAGACACATCTCTTTCTCACTGACTTCAAAAACCACCATATATTTCAGCATCTGCTCAACGCCAATGATGAGGAGAGCGCGGGGCGAGCATACAAGCGGCTAAAGACGAGCCATCATAAGGAGCGGCCGTGGGAACCGAAGCCACTGACCAACAAAAACAACAATAGTGATCAGACCAGTCAGAGCACGGTCGATGAGTCCACCAGCAAGGGAGCGCAGCAACCTTGGCAGCAAAGCTCAGCCCACAGAGGCGGCTTCAAAAGTAACTACCGTGGCAATAACCGTGGGGGACACAACGGTGCCCACAATGGACGAGGTAACGCCCACCCCGATGAATGCGAGCGAACGGTGTTGACTGAGACATCAGTGTTTAACAACGCTTCTGCATTTATTTTTCATACTGCACAGGCGGTCGGGGATATTGCAATGGCCCTCGAGGGGACGGAGCCCAACAACGAACCGGAGCATAGTGCGCGAAGAGTTACACCCGCAGAAACGGGACCATTTTCGAATAAAGCGTCGCTTGCGACCCAATCGAATTATTTTGCTGCACAGACCAGTGGGCGTATGGCGTGTGAGAAGGATGACCACATTGTACCCGGCGACGTTATTACCAGTGTCAATAGTAGGCATCACATCGTTTGCACAAACGCAGGTATTTCGGTTCACCGTGGATCGCCTATTTACCAGCCCATTCACCCCAGCGATGGAGGGGAAGGTAGTGAGCGACCCACAACGGCTGAGAAACAGGCGCCAATCCAGTTCAGCGCCGCGCTAGTTGACCCCAGTCAGCGATGCACGGACAATGACCAAGAGGTCGTTGACCTGAATACGATTGAAGACGATGAGTATGGAAAAGCGTACGAGAATTACACCGTGGAGCATAATCCTCTCAACGACTTTTACGATGGCTACCCCGTATTTATGCCGGACGAGAATTTAATATTCATAAAAATCAACAATTCTGTACGACGCAAAAACGATAGCCTGGACAATCGCATCATTGTCCCCGTCTACATTTATGGCGACAAGCACATGGCACTTGTTGATACCGGTGCATCGCACTCATTTATTGACACGAAGATCGTGAGCCAATACAATATTGCTGTCATTGAAGCAACAGGTCACATTGAGCTGGCAGACAAATCTATTATTATGAGAATCGGTGAGACAGAGAACGTTGAGATTGCATGTGGAGGAAGCGTTCTATCCGCTCCATACGAGGTCATCGAACAGAAATATGCGATTTCAATCGGCATGGATCATTTCTATCGGTTTGGCTTCAGGATTGAAGGTCTTCCTGATGTGGAAGAGTCTACTCATCGGTTACCGGAACCTGAAGAGGATAGTAAGCCTACTCTCAAGCCTCTCATGATCCCTGACATCGAGAAAGAACCTGAATTTATAGCTGCGAAAGAGAAATTCATGCGAGCTATCAGGCCTAAACTGGAAGCGAATGAAAGAATTCCTCTGACAAGTCACTGCCCGATTCCAGAAATGAAAGTGTTTCTTCCCGTACCTGAAGGCACAGTTGTGTTTCGCAGGTCACGTCACTTTGCTCATGCTCAACGCCCCATTCTAGACGAGGCTGTAGAGAAATGGATAAAGGACGATGTTATTACATTGGCTCCGCCCAACAACCCGCATAACAACACACTGACCTTGGCTGCAAAGAAGGATCTTGAAGGGAACAAGACGCTCTGGCGGGTCTGCTTGACCCACGACCGCTGAACGCTCATCTACCAGATGATAATTTTCCCTTGCCACTGATTTCTGAAATTATGCAGAGTGTCGGAGGCAACGACATCTTCACAACCGTCGATTTGCGGCAAGCTTATCATCGTCTGCCAATTCATGAAGAGGATCAACCCCTCACGGCTTTTATGCACAATGGGCAACAATACATGTTTAAAAAGGCACCATTTGGCCTTAAACCATTATCGAGTTTGTTCCAACGTGGTATGTCTCGCATTCTAGGAGACCTTGATTTTGTTCGCAATTTCATGGATGATATCATCATCAAGTCCCAGAATCGTGAAGATCATATTCACCACGTTGAGAGCGTCATTGAGCGCCTGAACGATGCCAAACTCATTATCAATCAAGACAAATGTAATTTCTACAGCACGCAAGTTGCGTTGCTCGGATTCATCATCGATCTGAAGGGCAAGCGAGTCGATCCCCAAAAATTGGCTAATATCGATGACTGGCAACCGCCTACCACTGGAAAGCAGGTACAATCGTACATGGGCACTTTTAATTTCTTTAGGGAATTTATGCCGATGATCAGTACTATTGCTGCTCCACTTGATGCTTTGCGCAACGAGCCAGGCACATTTGAGTTAAATGAAATACAATTGCGTTGCTTTAATGCACTGAAGAATATTCTCGTGCAGGCACCTGTATTATCATTTCCGAATTTTGCTGAGCCCTTTTATGTCGCCACAGATGCATCTAACGTGGGTATTGGAGCTGTCTTGTACCAGCTGCCTGAAGGCGAAGAGAATCCCAAGAACATTAGATACATTTCATTTATCGCGAGGTCGTTGCAGGAGAGAGAAAGGAAGTACTCCGCAACGCAGAAGGAGCTACTAGGAATAGTATTCGCTCTGAAGAAATTTCATTATTATTTGTGGGGTAGGCATTTTACGTTGTACACGGACCACCGCGCACTGACGTTCATTCATTCTCAAAAGGAGATGAACTCGATGCTCACTGATTGGCAAGAGACTATCCTGGATTACACATTTAAAGTCATTTACCGACCAGGAGTACTTAATGTATTACCCGATGCATTGTCGCGTCAGTTCCCACAGGAGCTTTGGACGAGTAGAGTACCTATTAACGGACCTACGAAAATTTACAGCTACATGCATCTTATTCAGGATAAGCAAACTCTCAGAGAGACGGTGCCAGAAGACAAACGTAAAACTTTGCTAGCCGACACCCATGCGCTTGGCCATTTTGGCACAAATGCCATGGTCAATCATATTCACTCTCTGAACAAAACTTGGTCCTTGATGGCTAAAGACTGCTTAGAATTTGTTCAGCGCTGTACAGAATGTCAACGCATAAATATAAGACGCAAGGGATATCATCCTCTGTCTGCAATCCATGCCCAACTGCCCGGAGAGCACATGGCAATAGATCTTGCCGGACCTCTCCCAGGAAGTGCCAAAGGGAACACCATGTTGCTCATTTTAGTAGATGTCTGCACTCGGTTCGTCTTTCTCGTGCCCATGAAAAATAAGACAGCAGAAACCGTAGCGCGCAAATTATTCAAGATATTTACCATCATTGGTTTTCCCCGCATTTTGCAGTCGGACAATGGAAAAGAGTTCGTTAATGAGGTTATGAGAGTGATGACCACAGAGATGGGTGTACAACATCGGTTGGTCACTCCATATCACCCTCGAGCCAACGGCGTAGCCGAGAACCATGTTAAGACAGCTGTAAACATTATCCGTAAAGAAATCAAAGCGAAGAAACGCAATTGGGACCGATATGTCACCATGGCTCAATTAGCCATGAATACGAGAATTGTTGCGTTGCACAACTCGTCCCCTTTTTCGTTATTTTTTGCCAGACGTTTCAACGGTTTCCATAATTTTTCAAACGACAAGGATGAACGATTATCCCATAGTGAACTCTTGGAGCGACTTCAATACATGACTGAAGTTGTCTTCCCAGCTGTGAGCGCCAAGTCGCGTGCCACTCAGAAGAGAATGATTGAGCGATTCAACAGAACGGTACTGCACAATGAGTTTCCGGATGGAGCCAAGGTCATGACTCTCGATCCTATCTTGGGTGATAAATTGACACCCAAGTATGAAGGTCCTTACGTTGTTGTGCGTAGAACCACAGGCGGTGCGTATGTTTTAAAGGACGGCACTGGCGATTTGCTTCAACGCCAGTATGCCCCATCCCAACTCAAACTCGTACTCGACGACTACGACGACACCACTTACGAAGTAGAAGAGATTCTCGAACATCGGGATGATTCTGAGGGGGGAGTGGAATACTTCGTAAGCTGGAAAGGGTATACAGAGAGGACCTGGGAACCAGAAGAGAACTTTGTTGAGAGAAAGTGTATCACAGACTACTGGAAGAGTCGCGATCTTCCTGGACCACCTTCTCGACCGCAGCCTCGTCAAACTTTGAAGAGCCACAGGCAAAGCAGAATCAGCAGGAGACACTATTGACACAGCGTCCAGTAGCACGTAAAAATAATATGAACAATTCTGCTGATAGTGTAACCACCCCGAAACCTAAACGCGGTCGCCCACCAAAGATTAATATAAGCGCAATTGATCGAGAGCTACCATGCACACGAGACGCGGTAGGCCACGAAGCATATCAGCGAGCAGAAAGTAGAGGAGTATGAGAAGGGGTTTTTTATGTACTTTCCCCTTGAATCACGACAGAGGTTTTCCTTCGGGCTTTCCCTCGCAAGGCCTTTTTGCTTTTTGCCTTGTAGTGAGTGATTATTACAATTGTCATGTAGAGGTTTTAAACTTTCCTCTGAAATTTATAATTTTATTTACCTTGAGGTTTTCACTTTTTCCCTCACACCGTAATCAATCAGCCCAATATGAGCTTGAAGACCTGGCTTACGCCTCCCATGGGAGGGGAGCTGTGCCATATTGGACAGATACTTCACTAGGATCACGTTATGTAGAAAAGGCCGTCCGGTAACCTACATAAAGGGGACCGGACGGTGCTATTAAAGATCCCTCTCTTGTCTCGTGCTTACTTGTATTTACTTAGTACGTATAAACCTTAATTTATCGCACATTCTATTTGTCGCAGAACCATTGGAATGTAATGCTCATTGTATGTGTCTGGCGCCATTTTTGTTATTTTTATTTTATTTATTTTGTACGTTCCTTGATTCTCATGCATGTAGTTGTCTCTTATGCAGTAAAGTAACGGTTATGAACGTGTATTTCGAGATCGTTTGCGCCGCGTGGATGACCGGTCAGGGGTACCTGTTGCCGTATCATCATATGCTCGCTTATTTGACTTTTGTTGCGTGGCATGATGCTCAGCCCAATAATCACTGATGCATCGCCGTTCAATAAAATGATCTTCAGGTTCCCATGTATTTTCATCGGAAGAATAGCCCTTCCATTTGACCAAATATTCGTTTGCGTTAGGCGTAATTTTACTAGCCCTGTGGTCAACGACTTTTCCCACTTCATAGGTATCAGTGTCTTCAAAGTCGTCCAGCACAAGCTTGAGCTGAGACGGGGCATAGTGACGTCCTAACAAGACTCCTGTGCCATCTTTGAGAATATATGAGCCATGTGAAGTGCGTCGTACCACTGTATATGGTCCTTCATATCGTGGAGTGAGCTTGCCTCCTTTAATTGGATCAAGAGTCATTACTTTTGCTCCATCTGGGAATTCATTATGCAACACTGTTGCATTGAATCGTTCGATCATTTTTTGCTGTTTCGCCTTAGATTTCTTTCTAATGGCGGGAAACACGATCTCGGTCATATATTTTAGACGTTCAAGCAGTTCTTCTTCGTTCATAATCCTGCCTTCTTCGTTGGTGTAGTTATTAAAACCATTTGCTTTGCGCGCGAAGAATAACGAGAATGGAGATGAGTTGTGCAGACTAACCGTTCGCGTATTTGCAGACAATTGTACAAAGGGAACATGTCGACCCCAATGACGATGATCTCCTTTGACTTCTTTGCGAATCATATTGCACGTTGTTTTAACATGATTTTCTGCAACTCCATTTCCCTTGGATGGTATGGTGTCACCAGACGATGGTCTATATACATCTGTGTGGTCATGATACGGGTAAGCTCGTTGACGAACTCCTTTCCGTTATCAGATTGTAACACGCGAGGGAAGCCAATATAAGTAAAGCGTTTGAACAAAGTCTTTGCGACAGTGTACGAGGATTTATCAGGTAAGGTATCCAACAGAACAAACCGAGTGCACACATCGACTATAATCAACAAATAGACATTTTTGTCTTCAGACTCTTCAAAAGGGCCTACAATGTCAATCGCAATGTGTTCACCAGGTAAATGTGCATGGATTGCCTTCATAGGATGATACCCTTTACGAGCAATGTTCATCCTTTGGCATTCTCGGCATCGCTTTACGAAATTTAAGCAATCATTGGCCAGATGGGGCCAAGTTTTCCCTTGCTGATGGATTGAATTCACCATAGCATTTGTACCAAGGTGACCCATGGCATGCGCTTTATACATGGTTTCATCCCTTTCTTTTTCGGGTACTACTGCTCTTTCTGTTTCCTCATTTTGAAGGATGTGCACGTACGCAAGAGCTCTTTTCTGCTCTTCTGTGTGGAGTGGTTGCTGTTTCCTCACCGGGAATAGACGCGACAAAGCGTCAGGAAGAATATTAATAATTCCCGGTCGGTAGTGGACGGTAAATGAATAGCTCAAAATAGTATCTTGCCATGCTGTCATCATGGAATTAAGATTCTGTTGAGAATGCAGGAACATTAAGGCACGATGGTCCGTGTACAAATCAAAATGTCTTCCCCACAAATAGTAATGGAATTTGTT